CTGATACATTCCAATCAAAGGCAAAAATCATTTACCGTACACAGCTGCTCTTGACTTTCCTTCCAAGAATGCTTTCTCAGAGTGGTTGAAAAGGCTGCAGTTGTTGCTATTATTAGATTACTGGTAATTAGAAACTCTTATTGATTTGCTGAATATCATGTAGGTAGTGGTGCTCCAGGAGGTCCTGGTTCTCACACAGCCAGGAGAAGCTTCCAAATAAGGTACTATTGGATTAGTAATTTTTAACCTTGGCAACTTTAAAATATATGGTTTTCAACTCCCAGGATTCTCCAGCCAGCTTGCTGGCTAAGGAGTTCTGGGAGTTGAAGTATCTTAAAGTGGTTGATTTAAGGTTGAGAAATGTTGGATTGGATGTCCAATCCTGCCCCCTTCTCCTTCTCTCTTCACCACAATCTTCTTGTATGTTTTCTTCTTCACTCTCTTATAATGCAAGGGGGTGGGGGAAAAGAACATCCATTCTTGACAACAGTTAGTTTATTTCATTGTCATTGCACATGGTACAACAAAATTAAATGTCTTCACTGTACATTATAACTATAAAAATAAAAACACAAACATACATCCTTTACATTCTATGTAATTGAAATTGAAACCCCGATATTGCACTATACCATAGAATTCAATATGGTTACTGCCCTGGGGTAGAAGTGTTTTTCAGCTTATTTGTCCTTGTTTTTATTATCCTGTACTATCTGCCAAATGGTACTAGTTCAAAAAATAGGTGCCCAGGATGAGAGTTTCACTGTACTAAAGACTTAGTATATTTCTTGTCTCAATCTTCTTCCAAGGTACTGTACAACATAATGTCAAAAATAGAGAACTTGTCACAAGAAAACACATATCGAGTTAAACTCAAGATTCTGGATAATTAGTCATTAGTAATTGTAATCTTTAGCTGTTAAATATTATATATGCACATCAGGCGTTACATGTACACTGCAGTACTGCTTGATAAAGAATATTAGTAATATCAGACGAATGAAAATGAATACATGAGGAAAGGAAAGCCATAAATGCTGTGAGAATGTTGAAAAATTGAAAGGTTGCATATGTAGATGATGCAATTGTTGGGTTACGGAGTGCAATTTGATTAATTTAGGTGGGCTTGGCAAATGGATAAAGGTCATTATCATCCTATATAAATAATAAGATAGCATGTGTGAATGTTGGAGGGGCAGGGAAATTGTTTATATTTATAGGGAAGGGAATCAAAGAACAACACAAATAGATAAAATAAGAGGGAATGAATGAAGAGGAAGATAGATAGATAGATAGATAGATAGATAGATAGATAGATAGATAGATAGATAGATAGATAGATAGATAGATA